GCACGGCGTCGCGCCGCGCCGAAATGTAGGAACCAAGCATTAGCCCACAACCCCTGTAGTAAGCACTCGAGTGATAAGGTGGGGAGAGGCGCATTGGAGCAAACTTTGAGGCAACCATGGGAAAGGAGGCGCGAGCAAAAACCGAGGGTTGAGCGCTGTTAGTGTGAAGAAAACCGATCAGGCGTAAGTGACTTGTACAAATAGAACGCGAGTCAATAGGTTAAAAGAAGTAAGAAAAAAGACCAGTCTACACAGCTTTATATCGTGCATCTATTATCGCCGACAGTGAAGCATAGGACGGTCGTAAATCGTAAGTCTTAATCACTTACTGTTTTCACGGAGATAACCTATCACCTTTGACCCGTAAGAAAATTTGCTCGCCAAGAACCTCATGTATACCGAAGAATGGAGTTTCGGCCAACGGACCGAAGCGCCATTCCTGATCCCGCCATCAGAGACTGCTCAGACTTACCCCTCTGAGTCGCAAATTGTGGCAAGCAAGGGTTAAGGATATAAAGATGATAAAGCCATAGAACTCAGCTTTATCTATGAATTAAAAAAATTATGTGCGCGAGATTTAGCGAGTAGTAATGAGATGTCAGCTATTGTCACAAGGAGTCCAAACAGTAGTGATAGTAAAAATTGATCCTTTCTCTATATAACATGTGAGCATGACCAAGCTAAACAAGGTTATTTGACGATAATATAAGCCAAGCTACGGCCATGTCGCAAAATTGGAGATCTCGGATGACGAAGGCCGAACATCTGTCACTGGTGTCCTCTATGAATCTGGGAGTGGAATATTCCCCCAAAGCCGAGATTCAGCCATCCTTGAACAATCGAATCTATTTCTTTCCAGACTGATATTCTCGTCGTCAGAAATAATTCCGGACTGGTTATAGTCGGAACTCCCGGATTGCAAAGATTCTGAACCACACAAATCATGAAGAATTTTATCAAGACCATTCAAACCCATATCAGATTCAGCTGATTATCGCGGTCCCCCTCGACACCCAAGGCGATTTTTAAAGTCGCTATTCAATGCCGAAAAAAGCTACGCGACACGCGACCCTTTCATGCAACACAGTTTTGCATGGTGAACTATCGGAGGACGCCAAACTTGGGTTACTGAGTAAGAATGTTCTATGACGCAATCAAAGCCTACGGGAGAAGATGAAAGAGAAGCTGAGCCGTAGAAGCTTTGGAAGTGGTCAAAATGATGGACTTAAAATTGCCGGGGTATCACCTAGAAGGTTGGCAGAGGTAGTCAATCCTTCAAAATTTTTATAATTTTCTGAGGTCCTGAGCAGTGGCTGGGCCTCAATTTGAATTTGTAGGGCTCTTTTGGGGCGCCGGCACTAAGCCAAGTAATTCCAAAAAAAGCATTAGAGCTTACTCAATGCCGAGCCTTCACAGGTATTTTATTCCGACTCCCTACTCGCATGCAACAACCCTTCCGCATACAAGATCCGGACACGCACACTTCTCTTTGACGGTGAAGCCCCTTTTCCGAAAGCTATGGGCCAACTCTTTTCCAATCTATTTCCATCTATCTATTTTACCATCCCCATGCCATTCCCAGACTCGGCCCACAAGATCTGTGCACCGCAATTCTAGTTCTTCGACTAGCAGCTAGAGCGTCACGCGTATATCGTGGACGGCCAGCCGAGGCCAGAGATGGAGTGGATGAGAACTAAATTCGATGACTAGAAGTCGGACTCTATCGATTGCATCGACTAAAGGTAGTTGCGACAAAAATGAAATCTAGTCAAGAGTAAAGGATCAGGGTAGATGAGAGACATCTAGCATTGCCACTAATATGTCTAGCACTAACTAGGAGGGTTTCTGTTGATTAGTCTGCACCATCCTCTGCTACCCGAGACGACTCGAAAAAAGTTTGTCAATAATACTTTCCACTCACTCTATCACGACTACTCCGAGATTTCAACATAGATACCGCCTGTCTCGGGTGGCATTTGATGATTGGCACTTAAGAGACGATATGAAGAAGAAAATTGATTATTCTATATATACCCAAATCTGCAGTACCCGGCTGGCAGGCCTCTGTAAACGCTTCAGAAGGGTAGCTAAGGTTTCGGCCTCGGTCTTGGTGTCGTTGTTAGGGGAGTACTACACTCACCGAATTTTGTGCCTATACCCAAACACTATGCGACCACAGTTGGCCTACGATCTATCAGTTACGGGGATTGCATAATCTTGATCTAGGGGCTTGTCTAGTAAAATGATCAAGGACACGAGAAGACTATAATTGTTCGACGAGGGTGTAGGAGGAAATATACTACTCGAAACCTATTAGTTTGTATTTTTAAAGTCTTTACCGTGACCAAGACTATGACAGACTGCTGGAAGCTACATATGAAGCTTTTCACATCCTGGTGGTTTCCTGATATAATCTGTTCCATTTCTAGTTCTAGATTTTAAGAGACTTGCCCTGGCCGAACTCCATCCTTTTACGGCAAAAAAGCGTAGATGGTCACTAGTGTGAGGTCAATGGACGAGCTCACATCTGTTGATCACTCTCTAGCATAAGCGACGGTTGCATAAGTTGGTGTTCATTTCTATGCTCCCGTGTCGCTGCCCAACAATATTTTATTGTTAGCGTATTGAGACGGCTCGCCTAGATTTACTTTTTTTTTTAAATCATTTAATGTGTATTCAGCTATAGAGCTATGATACATGACCGGTGCTATGTATACATGTAGGATGGCTCTTTTAACGTTAGAGACACTCATACTCTGGATTTCATTCATAAATACCACTATGAGGTATGCTTGCTCACAAAAACAGTCGACCCTCCTCTGTTAGTACCCACCAAAGGGACGTTTCAAAACCTTTGGTTATCCAAGCATGCCTTCGTCATCCATGTACACCAACGCCACGAGAAATGTGGTTGTGATTTGCTGGATGTGGACCAGCGATCTCCTATCTCGAGTGGGATGTGTCCAAGCTATCCAGAATTTACTTGGAAGATCGGCCAAGACGATGTACCACCGCACCATTCAACCATGGCGATGTTTATAGTGTTGCCTGCACTCTCGCAACCGAAGCCTTGGCACGCACAAAGCTCAATTTGTAAAACCTTTTTGCCAGAAATTCGAAATTTCACGCCCGTCGAGATTATATCTATCCTTCGTATCATCTTGTGAAATTTTCCTGAATCCTCGACCGTCCATCCCAAAGAACTGTCTCCCAGATTTGTGCGCCACGCTTTGCTTCCTCCGTCGGGTGTAAATATCGGCGTGGGCGTGTGTTTAGTGACCGGCTGAGGCCAGACAAAGTCGAAGAGAGGTGTGGTCATTGGGATGAGGATGTACTAGGTCGTACTTGTAGAATTGATGAGGCTTAGGTAGGCGTCAAACTCGTTGGGAGCGGAAAAACGACGTGGAGTAATTTTAAATTTTGCCTCTTGGGCCAACTTGTTCGGTATTGCGAAATTTGACTGAACTCGGCTCTGGGAGAACATTTTACCCCCAGGTTCGTAGAAGGCACCGCGCACAGGTGTTCAGTCTCGCCTTCCTAGCTTAACTTCGCGTTCGATGCAAGACCTGAAGTTTTGCCTGGCTCCCGTCTTTCCTGTTACCATACTACAACATTGACTCTGGGGTTGGGATTGCCACTGTCGAGAATCCGTACAAGGGTTAACGGCTGCTCCGTGGGCTCGTCGCTTCTGGGCAGCTTACAATCCATGTTGTGATCGTTGACGATGATCTACTATCTTATCTAGAGAGAGGCTAGCAGAAATAAACTTGGTCAAAAAGAAATCTTGGTTGGTATTCTCGTGTTCACTCACCAGTGCCACAAGCAGCTAATTGCTCTCAGAAATCTGTGCCGGATAGTCCGAGCAACAAAATGAGATAGCGCTATGTTCTAAAAGCTAGAATTGGCTAATTTTTAATTCGGGTCCATTACGTACATGTTCTTGGATTACAATACTTCCCGCTGTAACATCCGCCGCACAACCGGAAATCAAAGAATTCTCCTTGATGCGACGACTCCAAACGAGATTTAATACCGGGTCTCCGGGAGCCTAGAGCCTATTTGGTATAAACTCAAAGGAAATCATGGATTGTTAGTCTAATCTCCCCCTCAGTCAAAGAACACATGTTGTCGATCATATTAAAACTGAGTGGATATCAGTCGACAAAAGCACATTAAAACGTACTCACGAGGTAATCACATCCATTGTAAAAAGTGATATTACTAAATAATTCGATCAAGTCATGATACAAAATTGGCTTTGTAGTTGTCTATCTAGTAAGAAAATTAGGAGTCATTAAAAAAAAGCGGTTACCCTAAAATTCGATGAAACAACAAGGATACAACTTTAAACTAAACCCTACATGCTGGAAAGTACCAAATTTAGATAGTGCTCATCCTAGCTCAACCTGTGCAATACGTATCGCTGTAGGCCAGTGACAGCATTGTGAAGCAAAAATGTATTTTACTTCGATAGGAATGATGTTTACTCGATTCCAAGAGACTGGAAATAACTTGAATTTCCTTCAATTCAATTTAGTATTAGGTAATTTGACAGCACCAAAACGATCTCTAACTATATGAAGAGGGCGATGAAAAACTGTGAAGAGAATGCGAGATGCGTCCAATGACGTTCATTTTAGGCTAAAAATATGACATTAGATGAGCCCGAAATTGTACCTCAGTCTATCCAAAAAGTTGGCCTTGAAATACGAGCAAGGTCTACAATGAGACAAAAAATCGAATAACGCCTTCCAGAATAATTTCCGATATCGCCTCGGTTTAGAGCAATATTACAACATCTTAAGATGATGTGTCAATGGTATTAAGAACTCTAGAAAAGATGGAAACCTGCTTAATCTAGGTTCTTTCAGCCTAGAAATAAATATGTTAACCCTATATCCTCTTAGGGTGCTTTACTCTGTGTGATGAAAATCGAGTCTGCCGTTAATCTGTGAGCTCTTATCCCACGTGTAGGTCAATGATGCTTTCGCATGTAATTTCTACAATAAATCTTCAGTTTTCCATGTCGTTAACCAAGCAGGTAACGCGTTTAAATTCACCAAGCTTTTCGCTGCAAGTGCAATCAGTATGATGGTTGCCCATTTTGTGAGAGAAAGGTAAATAGATCCGCCACCGAGACTGAGTAATAACTTCACCCAGTAGCGTGAGTCCTTAATTTCTTTGCAGTCTCTATCAAAGTTTGGTTTTAAATCGTTCAGAGCCCTTGCTTTTTTTAATTTGCCGTCATAAGGTGGATATCTTAAGCTAAGAAGATTTTCCATCCAGGCAGGTGTGGTTGTGACAGAGCGAAAATGTGTGAAGGTGTCGAAGGATGATTTTCCTCTGTAGGCACCTTGTCCTGAGTCCCCAACACCGCCAAAAGGTAGAGTTCTGATTGAGCCATGGAAAAACGCATCATTTATAGAAGCGCCGCCAGAAGTAATTTCGTTGAGCACTACCATTTGATGAGCTGAGATTACAACTTAAAAGAGAGCTAGCTTACTTTTTTCAGTCTCATTACTGCTACCAAATGCGTAGAGTCCTAAAGGTGTCGAATGAATAGAATTTGCTAAACGAATAGCTTCTTCCAAGTCGTCAAATACTAGTAGAGGGATTAATGGCCCAAAAGATTCATTCGCGATCATTGAGTCATCTGTATCTGTAACCTCGACAATAGTGATTTCTATAAAGTTATCAGCCTCATCCATGCCTCCACCTATTAAAATCTTTCCACGAGTTTCATCTAGCATCTTTTTTATGCGTGAAAAGTGACGTTGATTGACTATCCGTGCATAGTCCCTACTAAGCTTTTGGCCATTAGGATAGAATTCATTAAGAGCAAGGCTCATTTGTTCCACAACAGCTGACAGAGTATCGCGCTGAACAAGAATATAATTTTGACTGATACACACTTGACCGGCGTTCATTAACTTGCCCCATATGAGACGACGAGCTGCAAGTCTTGGGTCCGCATTATTCGTGATAATTGCTGGATTACGACCCCCGAGCTCAAGACAAACTGGCGTAAGTGTTTCGGCAGCTTTCTTGGCTATTATAGTTCCAACCTGTGTATTGCCAGTGTAGAAAATCTTGTCCCACTTCTCTTCCAGCAAAGCAGTTGTCTCAGGAACAGCACCATTGACGATTGTGAAAGCACTTGGATCGAGATACTTTTCGAATATTGTCCGAAGTACCATTGCTGACGCAGGAGATACCTCCGATGGCTTCAAGACCCCAGTGCAGCCAGCTGCGATGGCACCAATGAACGGACAGAGAGATAATTGGAAGGGGAAGTTGTATGCGCCAATAACTAAGACAGTGCCTAAAGGTTCTTTTCGTATTCTGGGTCGAACGAATGAATAACTAAGCGGCATATCACATGCAGCTTCATCTTTCATCCACTTCTTTAAGTTTTCCGTCACAAAAATGATATCGTTCTTGCACCAATCTATTTCGGTCAAGTAAGTCTCGTAGACAGGTTTTCCAAGATCTTGCTTGCAAGCCTTGACTATAGCATCCGAATAATCAGTCAGTCCCCAGTAAAGATTTCGTAGCTGATGGATACGATATTCGATTGGTTTTGTCTTTTGCGAGCGAAAGGTATTCCTGCAGCGGGCGACAGTGCTAGGTATAGATTCGATAGCTGTAGACTGAAATTGAGGTAGTTCAAAAGGCGCCATACTAACTCTGGTTCCTATGATGATTCTGGTTAGTTATCTTAGGCTGATGTATGAGACTCCTTCGATGCTCACTTAATCAATGATTGCAACACGTGCGTAGATTTAATTCTGTGTGTCAATGGAGGCTATTGCATGAGAGCTGAAGAAGTTCCTTGACACGAGCAAAGCTGTACATATAGAAGTCTCCAAGGATCTTCTGCATTACTAAGAGTCGGTAGTCATGAGATGCCGAGGTCCATTATTCTCCCTCGTCCTTGGACGAGCCATCGCACGTGATACTCTGGATACGAGGTACATGGCTGAAAGACGCGTCTGAATAATTGAATTTTTGGTGTGATATCATGTGAAGAGACATTGATCTTGATGTTGCGGATCATGAGAACGGCCAGTGGTGCAGGACGTTAGATTTTGGTAGAAGTTACACACATGCATGCGCACAAGCTTTGTTATTTGTCACAACTGCAGTCTATCTGCAGCTGATCTTATGACGGCTCGGCACATAGGCAGATTATCAGTGAGCCTCCGAAACTTTAACGGAGATCCCCAGGTATCCTTGTCGTATCCACAAAAAAGCCAAATGCTTTTCCCTTCGATTAGCCCAATCAGCAAGTGCATTTATTAGTCTGCTGTTCGCCCGTTTAAGCCGAGCGTTCCGTTCACAGCTCAAGCCTCAAAACGCAAGCCGCCCACTACCGCTCTATTCCGTTTTGCAGCTCGCTAGGGGCTTTACAACAAAACTTCGCCACATGCATGCCGAGAATTTTGGCTTTGCCCAGCTTTCATGAAGTTATTGTCGCAGGTGTGGGCACTGGATAATGGTAACAGAAATATGCAGGCTAGGTTTGGAGACGCAGTGGTTGATTCCGAATATGAACAGAGCCAGGTTCATTACAAATTCTAGAACAGCATGCTCCCAAGATCAGTATATATCTCATCCAGACAAATTGAAAACCATGTGCTGAACAGGTTTGTGTGCCAAATGCATACTCTCGGTTGTGTTCATAATAGTTAACCGGGCAACGGTTCCAGTGATCCAGAGAGTACCGGCCGCGTTCCAGCTCGAATGATTATCCGTCGCTTTACCTAAAAGCGGTATATTTGTGGCCTGGCTATTAGGTTCCCATTTAATAACATATACAACATACTTGATCCCCCCTCCATATTGTTCATTTAATCTATTCTTGATTCAATACAATCTAAATACATGAGAGTTGAAGGGAGACCGGTAACCATGTATAGTTTAATCTTCAAGTGCAGGATGATGAGATCCTGGCTCTCATTTGCTTTGTTGGGTTTGTTCAGGCGCCAACACGTCGGGTAGTTTTATTTAGACTGAGCTAACCGGCACGTGAGGAGCTCAGGTGCAGTGTGCGGGCATAACATTAAGTAATATAAATAAATAAATAAATAAATAAACACACTTGATCCAGCACCATTAGGTACCGTTGAGTGCCTAAGTTAACTGCCGTAGCCTCACACTATGATACTTTAAATAGTGAACTAAACCGTTGCCTTACTTCCATGGAGATTGAGCCACAGGAGGCACTCATGCAAGAGCTTTCTATATTAATCCAGCGTGCGATCTCCCTATCCCGGCGCCTGCAATCCACATAAGATGGCGAACAAAATTTGTTGAGTTCGCACGAGTTTGTTCAATGCAATGAAGTTAAAATCGAGAGGTATTTAGTGTCAAGTCAAACAACAGCGATTTATCCTGGATAGAACATCCCTTAATAAAGTTTCGAATCGCACTCAGTTTCGGAACACTAAACACGAGAGAAATTTTGTGTCTTATCAATTAGTCTAGTAATTAATGCCTTCTGAAGAAACTAATTCTTTCAATTGGATCTTCTTGGATCTAAAATGAAAACCATACCCTGGGAGAATTGCTGTTAAAAGGGCATCAGCGATAGCCTCATCAGATATCTTAGAGAAGACATTTTTTCAACTACAAGAACCTCTTCGATTTTTTAATTTTTTATTCTGCAGTCCCTACTAAGTCTAAGACTATGGAGAATAAAACTCATCGAAAAAATGATAGAAATTAACCTAGAGCTAGACTGGACCTTGCCGCACAAAATTAAATTACAGATATTATATTGTAGTAAGGCGCTCGAGTACTTTTCCCTTATACCAAATGCTATCCTCATCCGCGTCAATATTAGCCTAGGGAATACACATCAATGTAGCTTATTTTTTGATACTCATCTATCAGACTTTGGTAAAAAAATGTGTACCACTCGAACCGTTACCTCTCTTCTCTCTATAACCATTTTTTTTATTTAATAGTGGTTTTGAGAGAGAAGAGGCAAGTAAAAATCTAAGTAGGTATAGGGATAACATCTAGAGTAGAACGTAATTGAATCTAAGTCTCTACGGAGTCTATAACTATGAAGAACTGTGTGATAATACATAAAACGTATAATTACGAAGCAGATACCTTTGGATCGCTGGTGACTAGATGGATTCAGTTATGTGCTGAAAAGTTTATCTGTTGAAGATTTAATCAGTCAATACCTCTGAGCTTGATGATGGCCAGCAAGACGGAGAATATCAAGATCTGACATTAAAGATGAAAGAGCTAATAGACATTATTTGGGAGATAAGACCAACATAGAAAGAGGTGATCAGCCTAGAGTAGGTATTGACATTGTGGATGTAGTCGGAAGCATCATCATACTAAAGATTCAAGTGCACGATATATATATACACATAGGGGGAATATTCTCAACATCTGTCAGTGGTGTCCCCTACGAACCTCCAGCTATCACTGTAGAGTCTGCAGAGCTGAGATCGAGTAACACCTTATCAACTTTGAGCTGAGTTATCTCCCCCTCCGTCAAAGATACGCTTCAGATAACTCACAAGACGACCAAGACGACGATAATGATTCTGGGAATGAGGAAAGATAATGCAGTACCAAACGCTAAAAATTTATCCTGAGAAGCCTTCGTTACATTACAACATGTGCTACCCACCGGCGGGCGAACAAAAAGTCCAGGAAAACAAAGTAGAAGACCCTTCCGCCCTCAAGAAAAGCAGATTTCGACTCGTCTATAATATCATCCCTACTAATCTTAACCTATGAGCATATTGTTAACATTTCTATCTTGATATCGACCCGTAAAAACATACCTTATATTAGTAACTCATATTGATACTCAGGATTGCGATAGATAGCAGAGATTGATGGTGTTCATGGTAGTGCGGGGTTTGATAATTGTTGACAGGGATATGACACGTGTACATATAGATCGCACAGTTGACTACTCTTTAGTAAGACGATATTTCGACTACATCCACAATGTCCACACCTACTCTAGGCTAATCAACTCTTTCTTTGTTGGTCTTATCTCCCGAATAATGCCTATTCGCTCTTTCATCTTTAATGACAGATCATGATATTCTTCGTCTTGCTGGTCATCATCGAGCTCAAAGTTATGGACAGATTAAATCTTTAACACATACTATTCAGGAGGGCGTCTGAAATACTTGAGTTACTCGACGACTCCACGTCCGTAACGACCTTTGGATGCTGGAATAGGCTCTTTCACGGCAGTCGCTCTCGACCAAGACTTTTCTGATATCCTTTCACGACCTTCGATTTATTCTGCGGCATGAATTAGGGAAAGAGGAAGGAGGAGGCTAGGAAGGTTGAGAGACGCTCTTAGGTATACACAGGTCTGCTGCGCCTGGCTGGCCGGTCTCTTCGTCATAGGAGATTCCCGCACCCAGTGGTTTTTGAGACTTTTCCCTGCAGCCTCACACCCAAAATGTCCATCGTTTCGTTGGCTGGAGAGGGGAGATTATGACAGAATAACGGCTCCACTTAGTGTGTACTCGAATGAAGACCTGTGGGGATATCACTGTCGGGAAAGAGTCGTGAAGGAGGCATACGATGAAGTGCACTGCCCGAGGCATAGATATTCCCGGCCTGTAGGCAGAAAAGACCTACATGTCCTCACATAGTCATAGATGTTATAGGACAATAAACACATATATACATGTGTCATATCCCTGTCCACAATAACCAAGCCCCGCACTGCCATAAACACCATCAATCTCTGCTATTCATCGCGATCCTCAGTATCAGTATGGGTTTCTGATGTACGGTATTTTTGTACGGGTCGATATAAAGAGAGAATTTTTAACATTCCCGAGTTCATAACGGCTAATCCCTGGAATCAGATATACAGTTGTGTTCAGACTCACATAAATATCGAGATGTTAAAGCTAGGTGTAGACCCAAAATCAGGGATCTTGAAAATGAAATCTGAGGTGTGAGTGCTCTTCCTATATTCTGAGACGTCTTTTGTGTACTTTTCTTTGATATTGCGTCATAGCTAGACAGCTGCAAACGCAATTAAAATCCGATGTAAAAAATCTAATCCGAAATCACAAATTACGGACGACAAAAGCTCATCTACCCGGTCAGTCTTGTGACTCACCCATTTGAAACCTTGCCCCATTTGTGACAAAATTCGTCAGAATCGTAGATCTTAATATCTCAGGAGAGGAGAGACAGAGGTGTGTTTTTACTGTGATACTTGAGTATTAGACTATCTAGCACATTGGGCTCCCTTCTGACCTAGGCCACACCTTGTACACTGCTCCTTGCCTCATTTGTTACTTGAAAAATCATTGATGTACTGTCCGTGATGAATAGTCATTCAACCCAGTATTTACCCGTGGAATGCAGCCACTTTTTCCACCGAAACTTCTATCCAAAAAAAAATGGTAGCAGTGGAAATTGCGTGCGCGGGAAAAAGTCTCAAGAACCTGCAACCTCAGTCTAGACACCAGGATCACATGAGGTGCTCATATCCTTTTATATCTCCATTCTTTGCAACATTCGAGGTCAACTTGATCCAATTCATCGTCTCCGTATCGGGTGCTAGCTACGCTCCGGAAACTCATCGGATGGCTTTTTCTCCATGATCAAGGGTTGGTGACGATTAGGGCTCCGACCTTACCAACTGATCTGATCGTGGTTAGCTTCA